CGAGGAGAAACTCCGGAAATCTTCTAAGACTCGATTAATAAGCTTCCTACAGGAAGTCGATCAAAGAACTTCCTGGGGGAAGATCCGGTAGCCTTGAGGAAGTTCTGGAAACTCTGGAGAAGTTTTGTGAACTTTCTCATGAAGTTTGTGCAACTTCCTAGAGGAAGTACTGGCAGCTTTCTAGGAGAAACTTCAGAAATATTTTAGGAGTTGATCAAAGAACTTCTCAGAGAAGTTCAAACAACTTCCTTGGGAAAAAACCAGACTACTTGCTTGGGCAGTTCTGAGAATTTGGTATAAGAAAGTTTGGGAACTTACTGGTGGAGTTTGTGCAATTTCCTGGATGAATTTCCGGCAACTGCCTTGGAGAAACTCTGGAAATCTTCCAAGAATGGCAACTTCCTTGGAAAAGTTCTCCTAAGAGTCGATCAAAGTACTTCCTGAGGAAGTTCTGGAAACTTGCTATTAGAAAATTTGAGAAGTTCCTCATGAAGTAAGTGCAACTTCCTAGAGAAAGTTCTGGCAGCTTCCTAGAAGAAAATTCGAAAATCTTCTAGAAGTCGATCATGGAAATTCCTTGGGGTAATTCCGTCAAATTTCTTGAGACAGTTCTAAGAATTTGGTATAAGAAAGTTTGGGAACTTACTAGTGCAGTTTTTGCAATTTCCTGAAGAAATTTCCGGTGACTCTCGAGGAGAAACTCCGGAAATCTTCTAAGACTCGATTATTAAGCTTACTGCAGGCAGTTCAGGCAACTTCCTTGGGAAAGTTCTCCTAAGAGTCGATCAAAGAACTTCGTGAGGGAAGATCCGGTAGCCTCCTGGAGGATGTTCTGGAAACTTACGATGAGAAGTTTTGTGAACTTTCTCATGAAGTTTGTGAAATTTCCTAGAGGAAGTACTGGCAGCTTTCTAAGAGAAACTTCAGAAATATTTTAGGAGTTGATCAAAGAACTTCCCAGGGAAGTTCGAACAACTTCTTTGGGACAAATTAGACTACTTACTTGGGCAGTTCTGGGAATTTTGTATAAGAAAGTTTGGGAACTTACTTGTGGAGTTTGTGCAATTTCCTAATGGAATTTCCGGCAACTGCCTAGGAGAAAATCCGGAAATCTTCCATTAGTCTCAGGGAAGGGAACTTTGTTGGAAAAGTTCAAACAACTTCCTTGGGTAAATTCCGTCAACTTCCTTAGGACAGTTCTGGGAATTTGTTATAAGAAAGTTTGGGAACCTACTAGGGCAGTTTGTGCAATTTCCTGGAGGAATTTCCGGAGAAACTCCGGAAATCTTCTAAGACTCGATTAATAAGCTTCCTACAGGAAGTTCAGGCTACTTCCTTGGGAAAGTTCTCCTACGAGTCGATCAAAAAACTTCGTGGGGGAAGTTCTGGTAGCCTCCTTGAGGAAGTTCTGGAAACTTACGATGAGAAGTTTTGTGAATTCCGAAGGCTCTCCTAGGAAGTTTCACAAACTTCACTAGAAAACTCTCAAATCTTATCATAGCAAGTTCCCAGAACTTTCCCATGGTAGTTGTTTTAACTTCTTCTGGGAAGTTCTTTGATCTAACTCTAGAAAATTTCCGAAGTTTCTCCCAGGAAATTACCGAAACTTCCTCCAGAAATTTGCACAAACTTTACTAGGAAGTTCTAGAAGCATCTCATAGCAAGTTCAAAGTTGTAAGTTGGCTGATCCTAGAGGAAGTTCTGGCAGCTTTTCAGGAGAAACTTCAGAACTATTTTAGGAGTTGATCAAAGAACTTCCTTGGGAAAAATCAGACTACTTACTTGGGCAGTTCTGGGAATTTGGTATAGAAAGTTTGGGTACTTACTAGTGGAGTTTGTGTAATTTCCTGGAGGAATTTCCGGCAACTGCCTAGGAGAAATTCCGGAAACCTTCGAAGAGTTCATTATAAAACTTCCTACGGCAACTTTCTTGGAAAAGTTCTCCTAAGAGTCGATCAAAGTACTTCCTGAGGAAACTCTGAAAACTTGCTATTAGAAGATTTGAGAACTTCCTCATGAAGTAATTGCAACTTTCTAGAGGATGGCAGATTTCTAGAAGAAAATCCGGAAATCTTCCAGGAGTCGATCAGGAAACTATTTTGGGAAACTACAAACTACTTCCTTCGGTAAATTCAGTCAACTTCCTTAGGACAGTTCTGGGAATTTGGTATAAGAAAGTTTGAGAACTTACTAGTGCAATTTTCTGGAGAAATTTCCGGCAACTGTCGAAGAGAAAGTCTGGAAATCTTCTAAGAGTCGACTAATAAGCTTCCTAGAGGAAGGTCAGGCGACTTCCTTGCGAAACTTCTCCTAAGAGTAGATCAAATAACTTCCTGATGGAAGTTCCGGTGACCTCCTTGAGGAAGTTCTGGAAACTTGCTATGTGAAGTTTTGTGAACTTTCTCAAGAAGTTTGTGCAACTTCCTAGAGGAAGTACTGGCACCTTTTTAAGAGAAACTTCAGAAATATTTTAGGAGTTGATCAAAGAACTTCGCAGGGAAGTTCAAACAACTTTCTTGGAGAAAACCAGACTACTTACTTGGGCAGCTCTAAAAATTTGGTATAAGAAAGTTTGACAACTTACTAGTGCAGTTTGTGCAATTTCCGAAAGGAATTTCCGGCAACTGCCGAGGAGAAAATCCGGAAATCTTCCAGGAGTCGATCAAGGAACTTTGTCGGGAAAGTTCAAACAACTTCCTTGGATAAATTATGTCAACTTCATTAGGACAGTTCTGGGAATTTGGTATAAGAAAGTTTGAGAACTTACTAGTGCAGTTTGTGCAATTTCCTGGAGGAATTTCCGGCAACTGTTCAGGCGATTTCCTTGCGAAACTTCTCCTCAGAGTTGAACAAAAAAACTTCCTGGGGGAAGTTCTGGAAACTTGCTATGTGAAGTTTTGTGAACTTTCAGACAACTTCCTTGGGCAGTTCTGGAAACTTGCCATGAGAAAGTTTGAGAATTTACTAGTGCAGTTTGTGCAATTTCCTTGGGAAAGTTCTCCAAGAGTACAGGTCTGGAGACTTGCTATTAGAAGATTTGAGAACTTCCTCATGAAGTTAGCGCAAGTTCCAAGTGGAAGTACTTGCCGCTTTCTAGGAAAAACTCAGAAGATCTTCTAGTAGTCGATCAGGAAACTTACATGGGAAGTTTTGGCAGCTTGGAACTAGCTATGAGATGATTCGACAACTTCCTAGTAAAGTTTGTGCAACTTTCTGGAGGAAGTTCCGGTAATTTCCTGGGAGAAACTCCGGAAATCTTCTAGAGTTAGATCGAAGAACTTTCCAGAAGTAGTGAAAACAACTACCATGGGAAAGTTCTGGGAACTTGCTATGATAAGATTTGAGAGCTTTCAAGTGAAGTTTGTGAAACTTCCTAGGAGAGTCTTCGGAAATCTTTGGTGCGTCGATCAAAGAACTTCCAGGTGAATGTTCAAGCAATTGCCTTGAGAAAGTTCTAAAAAATGCCCAGGGAAAGTTTAAGGAACTTTACGATGTCCCAGAAACATTCAATGGGAATATATAGGGAACATTCAAAGGTTGGTTCTTGGCACTTTCTTGGAATCTTCTAGGAGAAGATCTTAGCGTTTTCTAGTGAAGTCTATATAAATTGCTAGGAGAAATTCTAGAGAAGAAATTTTAGGTACTTTGAGGGTGAAGTTTTGGTCACTTCCTGGAATAAATTCTAGGAGAAAACTCTAGATTTTCCTAGGCAAATTTCGGAAAAATTCCTTGACAGGTCATTGAGAGAATTTAAGGAAATTTCTAGGAGTAGTTCTTGGAACTTCCTCCAGGATCCCTGCCAAGCAACACACATGTTCTATAACCATTTATATAACCTTTGTATGACTGGTTTTGGTTGAATAGCAGTTTACTCAACATAACTCTATGAATTTGTGTTACCTGAGCTATCCCAAGGGATACTTTAGAGATCTTTTAGCGAAAGTTCTGACAATGTTCGAGAAGAAATTCTGGGCACTTTCTTGGAAAAGTCCTAATAACTTCCTTGTGAAGTTTAGGTAACTCTAGTTAGGAAGTCTAGGAATTTTTCTGGAGAGGTTCTATCATCTTCCAAGGGAAATTTCAGCAATATCCTTAAAAAAAAAGGCCGTGCAAGGTCCTAGGGGTGGTTCTGGTATCTTCATTGGGGATATTCTAAAAACTTTCTTGGGAAAGTGCTAGTTACATTTAAAGGGCTGTTTTTGAAACTTTCTAGGTAGAGTTCTTGGAATTTCCTTGAATTCTTGGATGTTTAGTGAAGCTTTCGATATTTTTCTATTGTTCACTGAACATCCCTGAAGTTCTTTGGACTATCCTTAAATGTGTGGTACTTCTTAAAGGAACTGCGCTTAATTTCTCGACATTTACCTGAAGTTCCGGCAATTTCTCTAATTTTCATGAAACCTCAACAAACAATTTTAGTCGAATAAGCCACACATACTCAGCCATCGTTTCAGCATTGTATTAATAACAAACATGTGTAATAATTAAAGTTCAAGAATGATTCAAAACAGTCCCTCAACTTCTCGTCTTAAATCAAAGAAAATGTAATACCTTAAATTCTTTGTTAGTAACTGAGCTTCGTGAAGTGAAACAATTAACGAAGCTGCAGTAATTAATCATTGACAGAATTGACAGTGTTGACAGATTTGATTCTTCCAAAGTCCTTTCCCTTCAACTTCAAATCAAACGAAGACCGGCTCTCCGAATCGCTTTCGGCCCCTTTCCATTGTTACAGTCGCCCAGCGTTTTGCTTCATCTTATGTCACACCACATGCACTAAAGTGGGCGGAAATAATGTGAGCGACCCATTATCTTTCCCTCTCACTCTTCGGCGGCCTGCGGCAGGCAAAAACCACCAGCCCTTCGTTGTTTGTGCAATCACAAAAAAATACTATTCAACCAGAAAAACATCGACGCCACCGCACCAGCACTACTAATTGGTAGACTTTCGCAGAACTTTCTACAGTCCCCCCCCCCCCCCCCACTGCTCTCAAGTGGGCAGGACTTGGCAGGGAACAAAAGCCGATGATGATGCTGCCGACCGAAGGAGGCGCCTGATCACCGCGAGATAAGCACGATTCCTTTCCCCTTGCTATTCTCGCTGGAAGAAGGACCTTTTGTTTTTGTTAGGCCAATAATTGAAGGAAGCAAATACTCACCGCGGAAGAGCCACCAATCAAGCGTGAAAAGTCACGTGCATAACCGACCGACCGACCGACCGCCAGCCGTAATTGGAAATCAATGCAACTAAACAACAAAACTGGAAACGCCATAAAATTGACACTTGTTAAGGTTAGCTGCAGCACCAGACCAGCAGTAGCAACTGTCAGTTGGCTATGAATATGGTAGAAAGCGGGGAGTAGTAGTAGGCGCTGCTGTGCCTCCTCAGCGATTACTACGACTACGACGCATTTGCTTAGTAGGCAGTCCAGTCGGAGTGTAGTCAGTATAGGAGTGCTTTACCCGTCTCGTCGTCATCAAAGCGACAAAAATGTACACGAAAACAATATGTGTGAGTATGGGACAAACTTGTAAAAGCTGCTTGCTTGCGCTCGAGCGGGTCGCTGCTGAGGCTGGTTGGTTTTGTTGAGTGTCAGTTTCAGTCCAATATCGGTCGTGAATAGAAATAGACAAAAACGACACCGTGCGGTGCGTCGTGTGTGATTCCTTCAAGTGGTTGGCGCCTGGAGTAAGAAGAATAAGAAGAACGATAACAGTTCGATATAGTCAATACAGAGCGCGCAGAGGAAATAATTTTCGAGTGACAGACAACCGTGACAAGTTCCCCCTTTTCCCTTGGCGACAAGGGGTGATCCCTTGGCAGAGGCGACCATTTATCGAGTGTGCTTGTGTGTGTATTCGGGTTCGTGTTGTTCGAGCGGGTGTCAGATCGATTGTTTAGAGTGTGACGTTGGCGGCCGCGAGTGCCAGGAGAGCATATGTAAATCGAATCCATTGTTTACTTTTTGGGCACCACTCGGGCTCGGCCGCTTGCGCACTTGACTCTCGCACCGATTTGACACGCTGTCACAATATACGGCGAACCGAAGAGGCAGAAGAACGACGACGACGACGACAACGACGGTGGACTGCATGGAGGCGATGGATTCTGAGCTGCTGGAGCTGTTTCTAAGATGTGAGTCACGAGATATGCGCATATACAATATGGAGTTGACATTTATGACAGAAACCAGTATTGACTACCGAAAGCTACTCTAACTGCGGCGTACAACAAAACTGCTCGCCGCGCATCGACATTTCCTAATCGGTCCGAGAGCATCGGCGTGTAAAATAGATCATTTCTCTCCGGTTCGAAAGCGATAATGACTTCCGCTGGTGGGCCACGTTCATCGGAATGCGCAATTGTTGTCCCATCCAGAACGCTGCGACGCGTCGCAACTCGGTCAGCCATGGTTCCGAAAGTGTTTATAAACCCGCTCGACGCCCTCCTGTTCCTGCACCCAAAAAAAAAAAGCTCCAACACTCGGAACTGGTTCCATTAATTATCATTAGCTGCGATTTCCCCCTCCTTTCACCAATCACCCCTCGTCGCGTGTGCTTCTCCCGGCAGAGTCCGCGCGCGTGTGAGTAGGATATTTATGACCAAAATTTACAACCCAGAAAAAAATATTCGAATTCCTTGGAGAGAGCTCGGGGAGCAGAGCGATTCGAATTTCATCGGTGCCTCTGTGTCCTAATCTGAAACCTCTTCATTTTTTTTTTATTTGAATATTCAAATTAGCCCCCGATGACCAAATCGAAAACCAGTATTGCGCGCTGCGTCGCTTCTTCGCATGTCTTTTTTTTTTTACATATAGAGAGCCAGTCCAGGGTCGTAATCACCATGCGCTCCTCTGACTTCTAAGCTGTCTCGACGTGCTTAGAGCTCGTTCTCTGTCTTTGTCACTTCATGTGACACCCCGGAGTGTGAGAGGGAGAGGGAGAGGGAGTTAGCGCAGCGCGCAAAAGACCAGCTCCAATCGAGGACAACAGCCGAGCCAGGCATTAATCTGGAAAATTTTGAAATTCTTAGTCGTCGATAGGCTTGGCAGTACGGGCATCCATCTGTTGTGCGGTTGAGATTAGTTTTCTAATAAATTAAACATGATGCCAGGGGCCGGAGACGAGCGCGGTGACCCAGAAATGCAATCGATTTCACTGACTGTCTGGCTGGCTGGCGGTGGCACAGGGCACAGGATGCCTTTGATTTGGATTGGGTCATGTGACGGGCTGATTACACAATTGGTTTTGGTTAAATTCTATTTTTGGGAGAGCTGGGAGCACTGCCCTTGACTAGGTTTTTTTTTTCGAAAAGAGGAAACGTCAGACAGTAGGGCCCTGCACTGTACCAAAAGATCTTCATCTATTCACATGAATCATCCGACCATTATCTGCGAATGATCGTTGATGTGTGATGCGAACGGATCTTCAGTTGAAATGCAGTTGCTGCAAGAATGACTGTCATCACGTTATCGAAAATCATTCAAAACGACGATGCAAATAATTTGTCATCGTTCGTCATTTGGTTATCTGAGCTGGCGCACGATACATGGCTAACGGGTGGGGAAAATCGAAGGTAAACAATTACGTGGCAAAGGAATTCTGTTGACTAATGGATGTATTTTTTTATTATCCGTGATCGAATGACAGAATTTAAAAATTGGTTTCTTTAAGGGTATTAAGTTGAATGCATGTTTGTAATCTGCATTAAAAACGGAACCGAAATACAAAATTACATCAATTTTGGTACACTGGAACTATTTTAAATAAATACGTTTAAATTAAATATCGAAAAAAATATCGTTATGCTTGGAAACCGATATTTTTTTCAAGATTAAAGAACCCAATTAAAAAAAAAATAAACACTTTACTAAGACTGACGGCTGGGTATGTCTGGCTTCACTCCCAGCCTAGCTCGTTGGGATTTTTCTGAGGCAAAAAAAACCCTGGTCACATCTTCCTGAACCTTGATTTTGGACCTCTTAACATCTTCCTCGTAGTTGAAGATGCTAATTTTTTTTTGTACCGGTGGTGACGGGGGGAATACCCCTCACCATCCCTCTCCAAGGGGAGTTTGGTAAAGAGAGCTGATCAAACCGATTTGTACCTTCCTAAAAAGTTGTCATTGCTCGCTTTCTACACTCTATACACAATTTTCACACTGCCGTGCTCTAACGGAACTATCAACTCTATACTTTCATTTCCTCATCTATCGTATAAAAATTACCACTTTAGTCTGTTATTTGAAATTAGCATCTTCAACTATGTAAATCGTTGACTTCACGTAGAAGTAATACAAAACATATAGTCAAAGTACATAACTCTGTATGGGAGCTGACCATCAATTACTGTCATTTGTCGAAAGGTACAGTAGCAGTACCTGCCCTACCCGTGTCCCCTCGAGATCGTCAAGTCGACGATGACAGGAGCACATACCGTGGTAGAGGTAACAATAGCTGCAATATCCAAACCTATGACTGGATGCCCTCCTTCAGATAACAACTTGAGTGCGATTAAAATCGATAAAACTGTTTCAAACACATCGTCGGTACATGAGCTTGTCGGTGATCATCTCTTTTTGCCAGTGGTGGCGGGGAGAGATACCCCTCACCATCCCTCTCCAACGGGGGAGTTTGGTAAAGTGAGATGATCAAACCGATTTGTACCTTCCTAAAAAGTTGCCCTTGCTCGCTTTCTACTCTCTACATACAATTTTCACACTGCCGTACTCTAACGGAACTATCAACTCTATACTTTCATCTCCTCAACTGTCGTATAAAAATTACCACTTTAGTCTGTTAGCATCTTCAACTATGCAAATCGTTGACTTCACGCAGATGTTATATAAAACATATAGTCGAAGTATCTTCCTCGTGTCAAAAATACCCAAATGATATGTTGTCAAGAAAATGGCGCCATCTTGAATTTCGGTCCACCATCTTGGATTTAAAAATTGCGGTGAACCTCGATTTCCTCGTATCAAAAATACCCATATTGCATGGTTGCAAATGATAAGCTGTCAAGAAAAGACCGCTACCTTGAAATTCTTGGATTTAAAAACGGCGGTGGACCTTGATTTTTGACCTCTAGACGCCTTCTTAATATCAAAAATACCCATGGTTTCAGATGATAAATCGTCATGGAAGGACCGGAAGGATCTTGATTTTGGACCTCTTAATAGCTTCCTCGTATCAAAAATACCCATATTGTATGGTTTCAAATCATAAACTGTCAAGAAAAGACCGCCATTTTGAATTTCGGTTCACCATTTTGGCTTTCAGCATGGCAGCGGTCCTTTACTTTTGACCTCTAGACGCCTTCCCAATATCAAAAATAGCATATTGTTTGGTTTCAGATGATAAATCGTCAGAAAAGGCCGCCATCTTGAATTTCGGTCCAAAATATTGGATTTCAAAATGGCGGCAAATCAAGATTTTTGACCATTGAACTTCTTCCCCAGACCCAAAATACCCATTTTGCATGGTTTCAGATGATAAATCGCCCAGAAAAGGTCGCCATCTTGAATTTCTGTCCGCCATCTTGGATTTAAAATTTTGGCAAATCACGATTTTTGAACTCTAGACGAGGGGGCGCACATCTAAATCATAATTCAAGATGCTCAAAAAATCTCACACTAGCGAATCAATCTTCGAAAAATCTTCTTTCATTTCTCGCATCTACTTGCATCGCGCGTCATCAAGTAGATGCGAGAAATGAAAGAAGATTTTTCGAAGATTGATTCGCTAGTGTGAGATTTTTTGAGCATCTTGAATTATGATTTAGATGTGCGCCCCCCTCATCTAGAGGTCAAAAATCGTGATCGGTCAAAAAATTTAAATCCAAGATGGCGGACAGAAATTCAAGATGGCGGTCTTTTTGCAGGAAATCTTCAGAATTGTCTTCAATCTTCTTTCTTCTATTCACTTAGCGTGCGCGCAGCTAGCCACAGCAATCTTTCCTGCATCGTAGATAGAGTCGCCCCCCTCGCCTCTAGACTGCTTTCTAATATCAGATGGTTTCATATGATAAAATTACAAGAAATGCCGCCATCTTGAATTTCAGTCCTCCATCTTGGATTTCCGAATACTTCCTTATCAACCTGTCGTCTGGTGAGAACATCTGAGTGAATATCCAACAACATGTACAACGTGTCCTAAACATCTATAGTTCTAGAAATTTTTCTAATTTGCGATTAGGAAGGCTCAATCGCGTTAGCTTTACGGAGCCGATAATTCACTGTTCATTGTTTGTAACAAAATTCACATGCTATGTCTAGTAAGAGTTGGGCCGAATACTCGCGGCTTACCCGAGGTTAGAGGGGTACATTTTTGAAGGATAGAATCCTTGGGGTGGGGTTTCGTTGTCTCGGCCTAACGCATAGAAACCCCATTGTATTCACTTCGGCCTATCGGATGAAGTTACAAATTGATTCCGTCGGAGCGCTTCTTTTGTTTCTGAGAACTAGTAGTCGGTAGCTTTTGAACTAAAGTATCGTAACAAACGCATAATTGACTTGTTAACGCCGCAATCATGGGTTTATTTGATGTTTTCTACTCGCTGTTTCACTGAACTTGTCACATTTTTTGAAAAGTTTCCGCAATTTTCCAGAAGTTTTATTAACTAAATTGAAGTTCTTTGATCATACCTGAACTTCCCGCAATTTACTTAAACATTTCGATGTTCAACTTCTGAAGTACAGAGACTTCCCTGAAGTTTTAGGTGCTTCCCGAAAAATTCAGGAACTTCCCCCATGATCCGGACATTTTCCTGAAGTTTGCGGAACATACCAGAAAGTACTGGAATTTGCCATAAATAATTCCTAAGCACTTTTGGAAAGCTACTGTAATTTTCTTGAAGTTAATGGGAATGCTATGAAGTTCTCTTATCTGTCCCGAAGTACATGGAGGAGCCTTAAAATTAAATCACTAAACCTCTTTTTCCCGCATTTTTTTTTAATTTCTAGAAACACCTGTGAAGTTCACTAAACTTGCCCTAAAATGTTCTCGCAATGTCTTAATGTGCATATCATTTACCTTAAGTTTCAGAATTTTTCCTGAAGCTTTTGGAAATTCCCTGCCTCCCCCTGAAGTTCTTGCAATTGACTAGGAGTTAATGCAACCTGCCTTTTGAGGGTGT